CATTCTGAGCAGCGGCGTAAACAACAACGACAGTCGTAAGTATTAACAGTTTTAGATTCACGCGAGCACGTAGGACGCTTTTGGATCTCATTCATGTTCTTAATGCGTGCCATGCGTACTCATACTATATTTTGCTTTCCACTATTCTTTAAAGTTTTTCTATGCAGTGTGACGAAAAAACTCTTGCTCCTATTCAACTGAATTAATGCCAGCACGTTGAAATCGGTTTCACAGGACATATGAACTTTTTGTCACCATTTCTCATACGAACGCCTGGTGATTGGAAATAAGGTTACAGCCAACTACTTGTAAACATCCATTTTTACGCCCATGACACAGAGTAGATTCGAAAACTCCCTTTGATTTCTGGATGGATAAGCTACTTGATGAGTTGAAGATTTGACGGACTTTTAGAATAAATATGGGACAAACCTTGCTCTATCGTTCTAAAGCTGCATACTTTCAGATTATCCCTTAGTTTTAAGTCTTCTTTGGCATTCAAATTTTAAAAATAAAGACGATTTCCAGCTTCGAAAGATTTAAAGCAAGTGCGCATTCATAAAAATTAGCGGTATGTTGTGTCTTGGTAGAATAAGAAAAGTTGTGGTTGCAAATGTATATGTAGACTCCATGGATTTTTCTTCTAATAAGTCCATTAGAAGCTGAAAAATATTTTTTCAAATCTAAAAAATAGATTGTTTCCGAACATCCGGAAACAGTTCGGACATGAGGAGGTAAAACATTGTTGTAGGCAGAAAATAAAAAGGTATAACATTGTGATTTCAAATACAGCCGCAGCTTAACTGGGTTCTATGCCGATTTGGGCGCCCCAGATCAACCCCGCTGACGGGTGATTGCTGTGGCAAAGATCGATAGAAATAGCTGAGAGACAGGTGAAACGAAGGACCCGCATGGTGTGGTAGTGAACGCGTTACTCCCCGGAAAGGACAATAGGGCGTTCGTTCCCCACCGCAGACACCTGCGGTCTGGAGTTTTGCTAATATCTCAGCAACGTTGCGATTGTTGTAACTTTTCATTGTGACTGCAAAGGAAGGAAAAAACAATAATTACGAAGTTGGAATCTCTGTAGAGGGGAGCTATAGGATAAGAACCAAGGAAACCACAGAACCTTTTCCATGACTCGAAAAATAGTCAGCAAATTCCGCGTCAGTTTTATGCTATGTAAAGCTTTCTGGAAAAGCTTTTACTGTTTCATTGCTGCTCAACTGTTCGCATTTGCTTACTAGCTTTCCATCTATCTTACCCAGGTTTATGCCGAGGTGGCTAAAGGTATACGAGCCTACATCCTGAGAACTTTCTGCTCGGCTTTCTCTCGCAGTAAAGAGCTGCCTTTGTCATTTTTGAGTAATCGAGAATAGAACTATGTCAACAGGTAAAAAGCTGGAATTCGATTGATTCCTAAATGAGAGCAATCACCAAGATGTTGACATCGACTGCGCTGAGGATGAGGCAACCCCTGTAATCTCAACATCTGGGTATTAGGAACTGAAATTGGAAATGAGGTCGAAGTTGTTGACAATGGCGTGAATGCGACGTGGTAATATTAGTTAGCCCTTCACAGCAGCTAACTTTTCAAAACACTGTCTCGACTGTAGCACCAGACTGTGGTTGGACATAAGAAACCGGGTACATCAAACCGATATAATAAATATATTCTCTTAATTAGTTACGCAAATTCGTTTGGTAAATTCACGGAAGGTCTACTATGCGAATGTCCCAAAAATCAATAAATAAATTCGAGATCAAGACTTATTTCTAATTCCGGATGATAGAATGTCTACGACTAATTTTCCATTCATCTTCTGGAATAACCTCCAAATAACCAGCGCAATGCTGTTCACTATTACAAGCATTAAGAAAAATTTATGAATCAAAATCTGCTTGAAAGCGTTCCATGTAGGTAAACACTAAACACAGTCTATGCAACAAATATTTCTGCCTACGTCCCATCAATAGTAGCCTCAAAAATGCTAAAACAAATCTTTTTGAGCACGATATTTACTACGTCAAAAAAAATGTAATGAAACTTTGATTACCGGTCGTCGAAATATGTCAGAGTTAAGAGATCTCCTCTCTCGCTTGTGTGACACGAAGTGTAGCTAGCACCGCCTTTTGACTACACGCTCTACCACGCTGAATGATCCTTCACCCCACTTATGTGGTAACCAGAGTTCTGACGCGTTCATTAAGGCAGGCCGAATCGTGGAGTCGAGAAATCAGGCATGAAATCGGGTGTTCTTTGCTCTCCATTGCATCATCGACCTTCTCGAAAGCTCCCCGAAGCCACAGAAGTCATTAGGTTCCTCCTGCTTAGCGCTGAAGCTCAGTTGCTCAATACGTTGACTTACCGACCTAGACATACGTAGCCGGAGTACTCAGAAATAACCATTCCAATGATAGTAAATAAGGCATATGAAAGCAGTTCCTTTATCAATTTTTTTAATTTGGTCTAAGGTCAGTCTTCCCACCAGCGTTATCAAACTCGACAAGCATTTGTTCCCCATCTAATTCTTGGTGTTATAAGAACGATGTCATCAGCAAGGCCAATATGGTGTAATTGTCAACCATCTGTTTACACTCCCGTGTAATCCCATGCTAATGTTCGTATAACGTTCTCGAGAATAATGATAAACAATTTTCGTTAGATGGTATCACCTAGCCTAACACGTCCTTTGACATCGATTGGAGTAAGGTTGTAGAATGGTGATATTGTGGTTGTGAAATTTTTATACAGCTCACGAAGAATCTTCATATACTGAGTAGGGACTCCTTGACTGTCTAGGGCTTCCATGAATACTACTATCCCAATTGAGTCAAAGACCTTCCTTCAATCAATGAAAGTGTGACAGAGCGGTCTCTTTTACTCTCGCAATACCTCAATCAGTCCTCCTATCGTGGATGGTCCATAGTGCTGAATCCTTTTCGAAACCCTGTTTTCTCACATGGCTGTCCTACGTCCAGTGTTCTATCAAGTCTGTTTAGGACGATTCGAGTGAAAAAATTGTAGACGACAGACAATACGGAGATTAGGAGATGCAGACATCATGGACGCCACACTTTTCGAGTAATAGCACGGTCTTGCTAGTCTTTCACTGACTAGATACCTTACATTCAGGCAGCTCACGTGTGAAAAGTGATCAAGTCTTTTATCGAGCACTTAGATGCAAGAGTGCATTGTAGGTACAGATCTTCACCTTATTCCTTCGAAATTTAGGCAGTCTAGGACGACCCTGAGATTTTGGCAGCCTCTCCATACTTGTCCTAGCCAACGCTGCCATACAGAGGACCATTTCAGGGTCACTGGAATGAGGCCCACTTATTTCAGTGTTTAGTAATTGATACCCATCACAACTTGCTGAACCATTTGGGTTGGATATACTCATAGGTAGTTTGCTAGTGTCTTCCGGAGTAGAAGCGGGACATTATTTATTGGTGGCAACTCTTAACCACCTCCTATGAACTTCACAGTCCTTGATTGCAGGCTTTTGGCCTGGCTGACTCGTGCGATACAGTTCACCTAAACTAGAAAACATCCACGTACATATTCATGAATACGCCATTCTAAGCACGGAAGGCACATGCCTATTTGCGCAACAGAATCACAGAGTTCATCCGGTGTATCCACCCACTTCTCAGGGAAGCATAAAGTCGCTTTTGTTCCGGGATTAACCTCCTAACGACCATCTGGGGAGGCTCTACGTTGCCATCTGACTAACCTGCAAGAGATCCCTCCATGAGAGAGATGCGTAGCTGATCCTCAAGTATGATAATAAATCTCTCACGTCAGACACCTAGCTTTGAACACCAAGCCAAAATGTACAGGTGCTCTAGAAACATCATTCTTTCACATTCATGACCACATTCACTTTGAATTCTCTCAATGTAGAGAACAAATTCGTCTGAAACAAGGTTTGTTGTAAATTACTAAGCTCTAGGTAAGTGGGGAAAAAGCGGAATGGCTTTCCAAATGCTATCTCCCCAAAGAAACATCTCTAAGATGAAGCTGTCGACTGAATAAAAGGTTTAGGAGGTGAACTGTGTACGGAAAACAAACAGCCAGGAAGAATATAAATCATATCTGCTTCGCATCATTCACTCTGAATACAAAAAACTTTTAGGCAATCTATGAACAGATATGACGTAATAAACATTTCGCTCCTTTTGAATAAGTCAGGGGAAAGTATTTTTAAAATTTCGGCTATTTTGAAGTTCATAACCTAGTATGTTGGAAACTCAGGCACTCAAGGAGCAAATACAAAGTGGACGTCCTTCTTAGAACAGAAAGTTAAACATGCCGCTAAGTTCAACTCTATCCATCAATCTAATTTCAATCGATACACTCTTCTCAACATCGCAGAGGCTTTGATATTTCATATACATAAAAATCTCCCACACTGACAACATCGCCGAAAGTCTCTCCGATCTCCCCGTAATTCCCCAGATGATTGAATAAGTTATAATTCATTAGTGATAGGCTTCGTAATTAAAGAGAATAGGGTCGAGTTCATACGCAAAGTAGTTCAAGATCTCGACCATCTTTTATGTGTACGAAAGCGTTCCTTTCCTTGCACAGGAATCGGCGCTTCGTGTTAACTAAAAATGCAATTTCACTTCAACTTCTGGAACACTGCTTCGATATATCCACATTACTCTTTTGCGGTCACAGTTTGTCCACGTTAAAAAGTTATAGTGTGTAACGTGCGGTGTGCGCAGAGTATTCTACGAAAACTACCTAGACGTCTATCGTAAAGATCTAAATAATACCTTGAAGTGAATGTTTTCCCATTGGATATATTGTGCATGTTTCAATATAAATGATTATTTCATTCAAAAGCAGTTCTCCGTTATTTCAATTCTCGCTCTCCCAGGTCGCATTGAAAACGTTTATTCAGGTTTCTGACGTTGTCGAGCAATTTAAGATACTAGGAAGTCGTTCAAAAACATGTCCTCAATTTTACCAATGTCGAACAATTTCCTGTATGACCGTTTCAACCAGGTTCTTAAAACCTTTCAGACTTGATGTTCTGATTTTATGGAAACAGCGGTGACCACGCTTTGTTTCCAGCTTTTCGCTCCATAATCCAGTTTTACACCTCTTTTAATTCCTATGTATTTCTTCATATTCTATATATCCCTTATGTTCTATGTATTTTCTATGTTTTTGAAACAGTTCTAACTCACTAACTCATATGTTGCGAAAAAAACCTTGTTTGTAGTTCATCCAGGAAACTATCGACCTTTGGTAGTCGGTCTAGTCGGTCTCACAGCATACGTTTCGGCTTCACACACTTCGGCATTTTCATATCCTTTGTATTCACACATGCTTGAGGACAACGAAACTGAGCCCTTGTAATGCCCGCAAAATAACTGTGTTGAAGCACAATGTTAATAAGTACGTATTCTTTGCACTTACGGCCGAACAGCTCAGTACCAATTTCAGTAGCAAAAGTCCCGAAGAGGTGCGAACAAACTCGCACGAAAACGGTCTTTTGGAAGATATGATTGGTTAGATCAGCATTCTAACGGCCATGCCAGGCAGAAAATCTGTGGTAGAAATCTAACAATCTAATACAAAACGCCTAGCGAAAAACTACTTGTGGCAAAAGAAATAGCCAGGATGGAACTGCATTAAAACCAACGTATACGATACTACGCGGCACCGAAAATGCACTATAGTTAATAATATGCTATACTTGCTTAGATGCTTGGATATCGCGTTTTCACCAGTAGTACGGGCACCAACAAAATTTCCATATATTTCCTTCTCGTGTTAGCGTCATTCATGGGGATGACCTCCTTGGAACAAGTTGAATTCTCTTAGAGTCCATCACACAGATTTTTTTGCTGAACCGACATCGGATCTGTGTTTTTATTATTTACGTGACCAGTCCACCCGTGTTTGGTTATCGATGTATATTGTCTAGGATCTCGAGGAAGGAATAGGTCCTTAAGATTTAAGGTGCGCATTCAGAGTAGGCGTTGTGGATGCCAGTTATAATTTAGACCAGATAGTTCAATCGCTCCATGAGTAGTGCGCAGTACTCATGGCATAGTTGAAATATCAATCCACATCTCTGCAGCATAACAGAGCGCTGGAAGTGCCGTTGAATCGAAGAAGTGAGCACGGACTTTCAGATCATTTAGTTGATCGGTGATCCTTTTGAGAGGCTCGAATGAGGCCATGGTGCCCTCCTCCTTATACTAATTCCTTTTTCATGCTGCTCTTCGTGTTCACTGTTCTCCCAAAGTACACGCACTTCGACTTGTTCACCTTTGCACCAAGGAGGACTTTTCCTAGTTGACATGCAATCCAATCCTATTTTCCCCTCATTCGTGGAGCTCATTCGAATATGCTTCACTCACATTCCTTGAAAAGGTGACAATGTGATCTGCAAAACGAAAATTTGATAAGAATTTTCCACCAATACGTATACCCTTCACGTCCCAATGGAGTGACTTCTTTATCCATTGCAACGCAGCAGTAAAAAGCTTTAGCAATTTTGGATTGCCTTTTCGAACCCATTTTCCCATGGGCGTGGTGAGGGGTCGATGAAAAAGCCGTATGTTTGTGCTGCTGTTCCGATAACAGTCTGCGACTATTCCTTCGTAGGACGGGACCACTCCTTGCTCGACTATGGATGATAGCACTTCATTCGTTTCGACGCTTTAAGATATTTTTCGCAGTCGATACAAGTCAGGACAAGAAATAGATGGTAATCCTGACAGATTCTATGATCCATGAGACGGTTTAGATGTGATCTAATACCTTATGTGCATAGGATACCATATAGCTGACACCGAAAGTCTATTCATTATGAGAGCTAACAATTGAACCACTCAATCCTTCCTCGAAATTAAGAAATTTTTACATCATCAGTTTGTGTTTCAGATCAATTGGAGTTGGAATGGGTGTGGCGATAATGATACAACAAGCCGGCGCTTTAGTAGGAGCCCCTAGCCCGGTACCGGACCTTTCTTCCATAAGCGCGCAGATACGCAAGGCCAAGGTAACAGTTCTTCAGATTAAGCAAATCAGGTGATTAAGCACTGATCTGTTTCCAATCGCGTTAAAACACGATTGGAAACAAATAAAATCTTTCAAATGAGTCCACCACTCGCTTCTCTCGAGGAAAAACGACTTCTTTTTCACTGAAACATAGACACCAATTACAGGCGGAAGGGCGGACAGTGACGATGGTGAACGGCGCGCTATACTTTGACTATCAACTTGTGGCTAAGATTCCTCCGCACATCGATATCCATGTTTAGTACAACCCACAGTACTCAATATGAATGATGTCAGTGTCAGATGATACATAGATACTGTGATAAGAATTCTGCACCCGTTAACCTGGACGACGGTATGGATTAATTTTCGTTGTATTGATCTATTATTTATTAGCACCCATAGTTCCACCTTTGAACTGTTCAACGTAAGGGGGTGGTAGTGAAGGCGTGTGATAAGAGCCTTTCTCAAAGGACCCACGTTTTAGATGTAACTCAAACAACGTGAAATAGCACCATCTCCTTTGTTAATCGTCGAAAATACCAGATTAAAATGCCTCATCGCATATAGATGCTCCAGTTTCTTTGTTGCTTCATTATTTCTCTCATATCCCCCTTTGAACCACTCAATACACTATATGTAGCTGGTTGAAATTGTGGCACTAGGTTTAGAAAAGCCAGCGCTCTAAAACCTGCTTGAGAGCCCGCCCACTAACTCAATGCCAGCCATTTCATGATCATTTTTCACATGTAGGATATTGGAAAGGTTAAAAACTGGACGAGTATTGTCGCTAATGTTCAAAAGAAATTGTGCTATATATTTGCATACGTCCGACAATTGCTTCCTGAGCAAACAACGAAGTTTGGAGAGTCGCAGCAAGAAGGGAGGGATAACAGAAGATATTTAGGAAGAATTTCTCTATCATGTTGTCAACTAGTTCTCAGTCCATGACACCGATAATGAAAAATTTATATAAGATAATAAAGTGATCGCCGTCAATCTATTCGTCAGGGGTGCACTATGCATCGGACTTCACTGGGCATCGTAAAAGTGCTCGAATGCACATATGATGGCCAATTGAATGACTTGCAAGGATCTGTTCAGCGTCCTCCATTCTCTAGAAGTCTAGTATAAATTTAGAGAACCCCAAAGAGAAAGAGAACTGGGTTAATCCGGGGCGTCGCATGAATCTAACCACCATATGCATCGCACTTGGATATAACATTACTTCACATGATATCACCCCTTAAAACGACGAAAACTTCATGTTTTAAAAATGTGTTCAATGACTTCTTCAACATTTCAAGTACGTCTTTTCAGTAAAGAATAATTTCTAGTCGCTTTCTTCCGAGCTAGATGTGGTCCAAGCTATACAAGGGATATTTGTTAAAATTCAGAAAATGGAAGTCTACAAAACAAAGCTGGTGAATTATGGACCTCTGCAATGATTGCAGAATTACCACATACATTAAATGAAACACTACATGAAATGCCGACTTAAAACGGCAACCAAAAATGCTCAATCCGTTCCTTTGTTCGAGAGACGCTACTTAGGGAACTAAGAATGGAATAAATACTCCATATCGCTCTTTCCATTTCTTTTCATTTCAAGTCACCTCACAAGTTCACTATTTCAAATACCACTTCTTATCTTTAACTTCGATATGGCTAACTTAGATCCTTTAATTGATAAGCTAACGCTAAGTTGACAAGAGAAAAAACACTTCGGCTAACGTTTCGGTTTCATCGCCATTCTCAGAGCAGAATCTGAACTGATCAGAAGAACCGAGCCTGATTGGAAGAACTGTGGACAATCGATTCGGATGAATTTGGCTCTGATTAAGGCGAAGACGCCGAAAACTAGCCAAGCAAAGTTTTCCTTTATCAACCTTCTGTTGGCTTATCAGTGGAAGAATACATATCTGAATCCGTTTTAACACATTAACAAGATTTCGTGAACTACTAGTTAACCTTTAATTTTACCATTCTTAACACATCGATGAGCTTCGCAAGCATCTTTTCTAGGAGACTCGTAGATCTCAATCAAATGATTTCGCCGGCCAAACATAGCTACCCTAAAGTAGTGCAGCTATGCCTCTAGTTAAATTACAAACCAATAACAACAATTACAAACAACATAGCGAGATTAACTATAAAGCAAGAAAAACGAGAGCAAAAGTACTTCAATGCTTCAATGGTGCGGCGTGATGAGTTGGATGAGTACAGCTGGGATTAATCGACTTATAAACTGGAAGAAACAAACAGGAAAGCACGCCGATTTAAGAAATAGATGGTAGCTGTTATACATTGTGTGAAATAGGCAGATGTTACATTGCTGTAACTCAGCTAGCTCTTCTCCTATTGTTTTGAGGTTATCGCACAGACACATATACAGGGAGGTTTCACTTTCTAGATACGTAAAACAGCCGCTTGATACTTGATACCTGAACATCCCGTTCTCTCTGGTTGTGTGTAGAGCCCAGCACAACCATCATTTCTCGGAGATTTGCTGGCTAAGCCATCGTGGTTCACCGGAATCCTGAGGTCAGCCTGGCCAAGGTCTGCCCCAGGTCTTCACCACCACAGCCAGCCGCAGCCGTTGTGGATCACAGCGACCATTTCCACCATGCGACTTTGATACCAGGACGGTGATGGATTCTGGTGTTGGTTCACTCTTAGCTAGGCTTCCTGATGGAAACGCCGGACTCCTTCTCAGCTTGGGAGACCCTACCAGAGGATGAATTCCTCGCTGTACATCGGAACCCGACACTCAGGAACACCTCCTAACCGCGATGAGGCGGTAAGCCATTGTAAGGATAGTCGTTCCTAACCGTTTTAAAACTAGTACAAGTGTTTGCGAAGATAAAGAGCTCGTTCTTTATCCACTGCAGCTTGGCTGTGCACAGAGGATAAAGCTCCCGGCGTTGATAAATACCTTAAGGACACACTATGCATTCAACTTCATCCAACTATCCCTTCAGAGAAACCTAGTACCAATCTGCCGACCCTGGAGGGATAGGGGCTTAGTGAACCTGGACCGTGGAGATCGACCCTATGTGTATTGCAGGGCGCCTCCAACCAGTGCGTCACATGTGTCATCGTAAAAAGACTAGGCGGAATAATGCCAACTGGACGCATCATTCTAAGGGAATTGTTGGAGGACGATGGAAACTACATAATCATAGAGAATTTGCAATAATAATCGCTAGAGTCTCATCCGCTCAGAGCATGATTTTCATACGATAGGAACTGTTCGCACACGTCTCTCTTCCATACTCACAATCTGTTAATTTCGGAAAAAAAAAGGTTACGACAGGCAGCTACTGATAATTCCTAGATTGTTGCGCTTCTAATTACAACTTCATGGTTCATACAATAAAAGATTTGTACAAATGCTCTTACATTACCTACAGTACATAGTATACCCAACAATATGAATATAGCATTCGGCATACTTGTGAACAGCTCATAAAGAGCAGTTTAAACAAAGGCAAGTGATAGGTACCAAAAGAACGTTTTGCATCAAGACGTCCGCTATGTCTGTACATCTCTGTTTTTGGAAGACATCATCATGTCGAGAGGTACATCTACGCGATTTTCGAAGTGTACGAAACTAAGTTCTAGGAGAACAAAAAAAGTTGTCTAATGAGATCTCAAAGACAGTACCTCATTTATCTTAAGATTACGGTAAATCATGTACCGAAAAATACATTTTTATTTCTAAACTTCCCTAGACAGATAATATCATGACATCTTCAGACTCTTCCACTTTTCAAACGTATAGGAGATGCCCGATGAAAAATTCTGCCAGGACCCAGAATGCGTTCTTCTATAACTGGATCCGGATAATACGAAATTCGACTTTTAGCCGAAACAATCTGTAAAAAAAATTTTCACCTCAATTAAAATACAGTCATTTAGACTCAAACGTGCAGAAGTTCAACGTTTCTACAGCACTTTTGCTTTGCAACGTTACCTTTAAAATCTTCAAATCAAAAGTTAAGTGCGTTTTACTTCCTTTGACAGAAGCGTTTAGAGAAAAGAAATCACTGTTGGTACAACTGCCGTTACAAATGCAGAATGTATTAAATGACACAGGAACAACGTACGAAATTAAGGATGTTACACAAGAGTCATTAAAGTAACATGTTATGAGCGACAGGTTACGCCATAAATTGTCAACGGACGTGCTTAAGAAAGACTCGCCATGAACTGAGGCATCGTCTTAGGCTTCGAAATAATCCAGTTGTTGTATACAGTTCAAAAAGATGAATAAGACAATTATTATTCCACTTAGGAGTTTAACGAAGTAAGTTTAACAAATCAATTTTCGTACCGCCATGACAGTAAAAAACGAAAAATTAACATTTAAAGACGTCGATAGGTGACATAATAACTGGGTAATCTTCAACTTTTAAAGTTTTTGTCTATCCTAACCTTTCAAATAAAGTATACATCGATGAAATAAAACAATGTCACTCCACTACAATGGCTAAAATGAAATTATTTAAAGAATCTTAAGAGACCTAACCTTCCCACTGGTGTACATCACTCGACCTGGATTTACAGGATCTACCAGTTCTGAGAGAGAATCTGCCTAAAAAATGAACAAAAAGTATTCTGAAATTATTTATTGCTTTTGCATTTAAAATAAAAACCAAGGAATAGGAAAGAAGCTTCCCTACAGGGCAGAGGCCTTGGAAGAAGAGAGAACATAGTTCAATTACCTAAGTCCGACAGACATGGACCACCATTCTTGTATTTCACGTTCGAAATTATAACGAGGTTGAAGTAAACGAACCTGCTCCTTCGTCATACAAGGATTACGGTTTGAATTGACTACTCCTTCTGGAGCACGATGTAATTTCTCGCAATATCCTTCCATTAAGTGCACTCTCAAATCCGTACAGAAAAATGAACCCGCACCACATAAGGAACAGCGTAGACGCATCACACGAATATGGGTTACCATGTGTCGTCGACCTTCCTTCAGAGTAAAAAAGATCTATGAAATTTGAATAAATGCATAACTAACACGGATCACGTGGTACTTTCCTCACATTAAACTAAAGCAGTGAAAACGATAGTTAAACAAAAATTTCACGGTTATTTTTAAGAACAACAAACAATCACAGAGTAAACAATTAAAATGGTGTTCTACGGGTAAGTCGTAGACTCCAATAACAAGGAGAGACCGTGCCCTACTTTCGAATATGGATGAATCCCACGAGCGAAACAAAATGCGGTTATTGATTTGTATTCCTAAGTTGGAAACTAATGATATAAAAAACTGGCAATCTTCTTCACTACCTCAACAGCTTAAGCTGTTCAAAACAGTAAAATAGAAAACATACAGCCACAACAATGCTGAGACATTTGCAAAACCTCTGCAGTGGGAAACGAACGCGCTATTGCCCTTTCCGGGGGCTAACGCGTTCACCACCACACCATGCGGGTCCTTCGTTTCGGTTTTCTCTCAGCTATTTCTCTCTCTCGATCACTGCCATCAGCAATAACCCGTCAACGGGATTGAACTGGAGAGCCCACAACGGCAGTGAAGCCAGTTAAGCTGAGGTTGTAGTTGAAATCATGTTTTACTTTTTATTTTCTGCCTATTACAATTTTTCACGGCAGGTTATCATGCGAGACACTAATAACACTGGAGGCTTCGTTCACGCTTTCTCTGCACTCATAACTCGTTAGTGTTTCAAACCTTTTGCGTTGCAATGAGGTTGAATTCGTTGAAGTAGATTTGTTGAAATTGCTGTTCTACTTACTTGATACTTGATAACTGAATGGCCCTCCCTCACTGGTTGTGCGGGTCCCAGCATAACTACCGTTTTTTCGGATTTTTGCTGGTTTAGCCATCGTGGTTCTCTCGAGTCCTGAGGGCAGCCTGGTAAAAGTCTGCCCCAGGTCGTCACGACCGCAGGAAGTCGCAGCCATTGTGGACCAGATGGAGATTTGCCACTTTGCGAGTAGTTTCATATCAGGACAGTGGTGGATCTTGCTATTGATTTACTCTTAGGTGGGCTTTCTGATGGGAACGCCGACGTGAATTGTAGTAACAAAGAATGAGTCCCAAAATAACGTTGTCTTGCGAGAACTAGAGGGAAAAAAAGTTTACAAGTAATAACTATGTAAAAGAAATTAAAGACTTACTTTAAGATTGGGAACCACTTCATTACATTGCGAACAAACATGTTTCCCGTCAGGTTCATTGGGATCAAGTTGTTTCAGCGATGAAAAGAATAAATGTTTTTGCGCGCCGGAGAGATACACTGGAACCATGGCTAAATCGTTCACTTTTCCTGGCCTTCCATTCTTCGAGACGATCTAAAACACAACGACAATTCAAACAAATGCATTTTCGTACTTAAATAAAGAAAAGCAACTACTTGTCTTTAACACTCTCGTGAGAAGTGACACCTATAGGTGACATAATGGTTCTACGGAATTAGCCGGTAATAACTAGTAACCACCTACAGAATTCATTGTCTTTCCGGTAGTCGATTTTGACAGATAGAACTATTTTCCTATACTTTTTGTTACCACAAATCGCTTATAGAATACAGATGTTGTGCTGGGCGCTGGATTGGCAAAGCTCTATTCTGCACTTATAAATATACAAGAAACTGTTTTGTGAACGACTTTATCAACCAGAAATTTGGGTACTAGTAGAGTATTATTGCAATTCTAATTGCTATAGTCACTGTATACAAGATCCGGACATAAGAAATAACGAAATTCAGATCCACAAGTTGTAAAACATTTCCAGATGCTAACAGTAATGCTAACATTATGACGAACCACAATAAAATATAGTAAGTAACACCATATTACAACTAAACGAAGTCCTCTAGCTATCGAGAAACTATTCTTTACTTTATTTTCAAAAAACCAGGTAGCCCACAAAGGAAGGATAGAGTTCTCGGCTTTGATCAAACCCTTTGGAATGCACCATGCATTCGACTTCATTCAGCATCGTTTGGAGGTGACTGAATGCATATCTGGCCTTTACAATGACTCGCGGTGGCATACCGATGCATCGAGGCAGTGCTGCTATCCTCCTAGACAAATCTGGTACCAATTCGCAGACCTCAGAGGGTCGAAGGCTTGGTGGGCTAGGAGAACAGGAATAGATTCCATGCGTAATGCGAGACGCCTCCGACTCTTTCACTCAATTGACCCATGAGGAGTGAAGATTAGGCGTCATCTAGTAGTACGCAACAAACACGACATGAGGTGTCGTCTCCACATTATTAAGAGATTTCCGAACGAATCAACGACGTACCGTTACGCTATCTTCTGCATCATCACTAAGGGCGTTCAGATTTTGCTTGCGTCGTCTGGACGGAGTGCCTGAGAGATCCATCGAATTTGGAGTTGATCGCCGCGTATGAGTTGGCACATTCCTGAAAGAAACGTATTTCTAGAGATTTCTTCTATCCATGCAATTAAATGGCCGATATGGTTAAATAAAACACGTACTCTGTTCACGGTTCACATGGTACAGAACCTATAAGAATTTATCAGCAAAGAGATATTAGGCCTGAATTTCCACTCTAATAATTGAGGTTGTCTGTCTAGTGTTTTCACTCAATAATATTTCCATTTGTAATAGTTGAACTTTCAAATCAGCTTCAGCTGTGACTAATACTATTCGCCTTCATATATCTACTTGATATGAGCAATCAAGACAAACCGTCGCAAGTTATGTAGTATCTCAATATGTGTCGCGTAAGGGAACGTGTCGTGAACCTGACGAAATGTGGCAACCTACTTGCACTGGATTCAGTAATAAAGGATAAACGATAAAGCTCTCGGCGTTGGTCAATACCTTAGGGATATACTATGCATTAGACTTCATCAAACATCTTTTGGAGGTTATTGAATGCATATTTGACCTTTAAAATGACTCACGGTGGACTACCGATGTATCGCGCCTGTACTACTATTCACCCAGACAAATCTGTAACCAATCAGCCGATTATGGAGGGATGGAGTGCTTGGTGGGCTAGGAGCGTGGTAATCACCACTGCGCCATACGCGCCCATCGGATTCAGTAACCATATCTTGAGTAAAACCTCCTAGTTCACAAAGACCTACATAGAAATATAGCAATTTATCATGGTTAAATGAATATAAGCATATGTCAAAGATTATTCATCTGATTCTCGTTGCGCGATTGTGCCTCTTAAAGTACGCAGTCAACAAAAGTTTAATAGCGATAGTAGCCCAGGAACGTCGCTAAGTGTCGAAGTTTGATGTCAAATGGGAAGCTCAACCTCAGTAGGTCTACCTAGAGTATCATAAGGTCAAGAGCTCCTTCAACTCAAAATAGAAGGTTTTTCTTCTTGTCAACTCCAACTTCGATGTTGCACTACTGGAATACCACATCAATCCAACAGTTTCTTATGGAAGAATACCAAAGCACTATCAAAAAAGAGATGTAGTTACGGCCAGAAAAGATTGGCACACTGTTCACTGAATGTTAGTAAATTTTCGGTCTGGTGTGTCATAAACGTCATGGAAAATCTATCCATATCATTCCATAATTCCATATCATCTAAACAAAGTCTCAACTTTAGCACAAAAAAACTGATTAGTTAAGCTCGACTGAATGAACTCTGGACAGAGTTGATGAATAGGGAACTGTAAAGGTCCAGTCCTAATAAATAAACATATACCCCTACTTCAAAAACGTAGCTCGCTTGTAACCACTTTCCCCGAAATGACTTTATGATCAGTGAAATAATTTTAAGCGCAACTAAGAAGAAACAACGGAATGAGTAAGATTAACCGACACTTACCTACTCTATAAGTGAGGAACTATAAGGGACATGAGAGACACCAAGAAATACTTACTGGTTTCGGCTCGTAAGATCTGACGAACTACAATGGCTTGCTGATGACGGCTCGACTTTAGAAGGACTAAAAAGACACAAGAAACAAGGCGTTTTAAAACGTTTAAACCTATTGATCGATGTTTGACTCGGAACGACAGCAAAGGAGAAAAAGTTTAGTTAACCTTACAAAGCTAAATAAAGGAAAAATCTCTGAACTCATTCATTACATATATATATATATATATATATATATATATATATACGTATTATGGCTAACTTATTTCTCGATAAATAGACAAGAAACACATAGAGAACAGAAAGCATTCAATGAAACCAAACAATAGAAATGTTACGTTGTCTAACATAATCCATAGATAGAGAGGAAAACCAAAGTTAGACATTCCTTACTTTCAGAACACTAAAAGCACTTACGGAGAATTGGAAGATATAGAATCTCCTTGATTAAAAACAGGTAAAATTGAAGTCTCATTGGTCCCGTCACGACGATACTAAAAACCAAGAACTATTAAGTACAACAAGTGAAGACTAACAGTATGAAGATAGAAACGGCCCAACCAGGCTCAGTACAGGAAACTATTTCTTAGCCAAAACGATCAGTGAAAGATCAAAAGTCTACAGATGGTGAGCAAGAAAACTTCCTTTCGTTTTTTTCTTCGTTTCTCAATGAAAATACCCTCATTGATAACAATTAACAAATGGAACGTAAAGAATGAATATCATATAACATCTTTTATAAACCAGATTCATGGTATTTATTAAGTCAATGCTCGTTTCCAACCACCGAAACTCCTCCCACGTAGCTAGCACTTCCAGAATTCCCCCAAATGTGAGCTGCACACAGAAAAATCCCACGCAAATTGCAATATATTGATACTTACTCTTACTTAAAGGGCGTGGATAGCGCAGTGATCTGCAGTGCCCTGCAATACTCATAAAACGATCCTGCGCCCCTGCTCTACCAAGCCCTCCACCACACCTGGGTTCACTGGCGCGATAGATCGGAAGGCCACCGCGAGTTATCGTAAAGGGCAGATATGCATTGCATTCGATCGCCTCCAACGATGCTAAATGAAGTCGAATGCACAGCACATCCCGCACGGATTGATCAACGCCTAGAGCCCTATCATTTTTATCCGTTTTACTCTTATTTATGCACCGAAATTTTCACATGTACAAAAAGTATCATAATGTCCACTAAAAAAGACCTTGCGATCATCAACAATGAAGAAGTCCTCATTATCCATCCAATCAGGCCTCTTCCGTAAACGAGAAGACCTTGAGCGAACATTTGTGACAAGGGTATCAGAAATATTCTGGAATGATATTTGATCAGGAACTCGTGGATGATTTAGCTTTAAACATAGTACAGTTATACTCCTGAGCTAACATCTATTGAAGAAAGAAGTCTGTTCAAACGTTACCCTAGGAGATAAGGGATACAGAAGGTGTGACTAGGAGTGTGACAGATTTAGAATGGACCAAAGTATGCAAGAGAATATGTAACAATGGTCCATCTAGAGACCAAACTTTTAACATAACAATGGGAATTCTCAAAAATGCAAGAAAATATGTCTTAATGAATATCAAGAACTTTTTACGAACATAGTATTAGGATTATCGCAGCTAATACGATAAGAATTTATACTAACAGTCACAAGTATTATCTTAATAAGTTACCAATAAGAGTCCATGTATGTTTAAAAACCTTTCGGCTTGTTCACCAAAAAACTGATCAATACTATCCTACGATCTGCTCTTGATTAAGCTAGCGTGAGGTAACGTACCTTAACATTCATCGCTCATAGTTTGTGAACAACATATGGTTGAACTTAATCCATTCAAGGAGTTAAGTAATGGGCTTTCCTTAACCCATAACGCCTGGTATGGGCACTGTAGTGGTCACACGCGCTTGGACCAGGGGGACGGTATTGACACTACAGCGTCCATTTTCAGTTTAGCACCAGAACGCACCAGAACATTTTTACCGCGCTATATGCATACTCGATTGACAGCTAATGAAAAGTACCAAACTATAAAGGATCAGAGTGGAAATGCCATCTTCCTGATTTAAAACCTGTTTAAACTGACGAAATACTAGAAATGAGATCCACATTTTCAAAATTCTTAACCCGCGTACGGTTACCATAAGCACAAACGTTAAATTGAAGAACATCAAAAGGCTCTGTTCCACCAAACGACCATCCAACCAACTCGATGTTTGAATGAACTACGAGCTTCCAGAAAAGAGACGATTTGTGAGTTCCAAATGATCAGAACATCGTGAAATTAGAACAAAAAAAACACTGTATTCTACTGTTATATATATACGTATATATATATATATATATATATATATATATATATATATATGTAAATACTGATCCTCTCTATTTCAACTAATAAAATTCACTGTAGCTTAGGATTTCACTAGGAAATTCCTTCCTGCCACTGGTTCCGCTATGAATACTTTGGAAAAGATTGCGAGGAAAACACAATAAAAAGGAACACATGAATTGAAGAAAAACTATGTATATGGTCAAAAATTTCGTGATGTTCTGCTCTTTATTATACTATTGTTATCATGTCATCATTATTTATTATATCATTGTCATCATATTATTTATACTAACTCTAGGAACAACACTACTGGACTGGCCGACCCAATATAATCTACCTTCTGGACATAAGGTTTTGTAGCATTAAGTTTGAATAACGCCGTTTCTGAAAGATTAAACAAAACAACCACACAATACAGTCAGTTAATTGATTAACACAGAAGTGTTAAATGAACAGATTAATTCCACTTCTCAAAAACTCTAAGCAATGAAGTTCACCTCACCTCTTGGTATGTCTCTACAACAGTACAAACCAACAAACGCACAACCTAAAATGCGCATGGTTAGAATGAGGTATAAGCAATCTAAACCAGTGGGAACCACTCGCTCAATGAAACTCAAAGAAAACCAGTGGGAAGCAAAACATTTTTCAATAGCTCAAAAACGTAACCCTGTGCTATTACTAAAGATCAAGATCTGAGTGAGATATGAGTGAAGATCTCAAAAACGGTAAACCAAAGAATTCTCTGAGAAATGCTAAAACATACTTCTGTAACATCTTTAAGAATCGAATTTTCACAAGCCATGGCTGCCGATGAACTCGTTTCTTGTAAAGCACAAATAGATTCAGAACAATCCCTCGTTTTTACAAGCATCTGAAAATTGGTGATAAAGAGATACAAACAATTTCTAAACCAATACAAATTAATTCACAGACAGGAATAAAAAAAGCACTCGACGTTGATCAATTCTTAAGAGGCGCGCTTTGCATTCGATCTCATAAGCATCGTTAAGAGGTCATTTTGTAGATTGAATGCATATTTGGCCTTTATATTGACTTGCGGTGGTCTATCGATGTATCGAGCCAGTGTTGCTATCCTTCCAGACAAGTCTGGTACCAATTTGCCGACCCCGGAGGGATAGAGGGCTTGGTGAGCCTGGGGCGCAGGAATCGATCCCGTGTGTACTGCAGGGCGTCTCCGACCACTGCGCCGCACACGCCCTATTCACAAACAGATAATCTGTAAAACAATATGGAATAATGCTCAATGAGAGAAACGAACTTCGTCTTTAACAGATGATGTGTCTTCATCTCTATAACGAGCAGGAATTTTACGTTTCCTACGTTCCTGAAAATAGATTTTGATTCATAACCATCCAAATATGAACGCTACAACATACACTAATTGTAGAGATGCTATTAAAGCAATATAGATCATGGTTCATTTCTCAAGAATCAAAAAAAAACCCACCTGCCTCACAATAAAAGAGATTAAGGTGAAAAATACCCGTGAATTCGTCATAGATTGTTGCTGATCATCTCCTTCTGAACGAATCTGAGAATGTCGAACTCTTCGACACTTCAGCTGTCGATGGATATGTTCCCCAGATGAGGTGCCACCATTCGAAGTCCGAATATTGCAGCACTCAACACTGTCGGTGGAAATTGGATTCACGTTCACGTCCAGCTTTTCATCACTATCTTCACCCTGCACGGATACATTCAAATTGTCAACCTCTTGCTTATCCACCTGGAACAACTAAAGTTAGCCGTTTAGACGGAATAAAAATGAACTACGAGCCATAAAAAGCAATACCACTCACTTTTTGTTGGTCTCCAACAACTCTATCAGGCTCAGGACTTAAACTTCGACAACGAATAACTCCATTAGTGCTTCTAGGTATCTGAAAAACAATATTATTTAAATGTTCACTTCCTTTCAGTATGAAACAAAAAAATGAAGAAAGAATATGAAAACAAACGCAGTCTCATACAACATTTGGCCTTCCCTAAGTCACAAAGCATTGTATAGAAGTCACTTACCATCCTGACTTTTTTTGCCCTCTTCTTGTTGATAACCTCATCTGCTTCCTTTCTACGTTGCGAAAGATGGTCCAACTTTATTTGTTTATGTTTCCTGTTCAGATGCGAACAGAAATATCCCCACCTAGGAATTTAGACAATTGAGAACTTCCCATAGTAAATGAAAGAACAATCAAAAAGATTTCATAACCTACGTAGTGAACTTTTTGGAGCACATCAGACATGGTATCGCATTTGTGCTTTCTTCCTTTTGGGAGTGCTTTACAGACATGTGGTAAGCTAACGCCCAAACGCTTCCAAACGGTGATATATCGGAGCACGAACTGTAGAGACACCGTCCTAGTGCTGGTTCTACGTCGTCGTGAAAATATGTCAACAAACGCTCCACGCATTCAACCTGGATGAATAAAAGAATTTTCATTCACAAAATTGGGTTTTATGGCTCGCTTGATGATGCCCACGTTTAGGTTAGGTTACATAACCACGATAACAACTGCTTTTTTTTTCTTCCGTTAAACTTTGTTAGATACTTCTAAACGATTTGAAGCAATAAAGTAGAACAAGTATACGGAATGCTAAGGCCTTTCCATGCTAAGGATTTATCAAGCAGGTTAACAGTAGATGAACACGAGTCGCATAGCATACCTCTTCTTTCGAAATAACTCTCGTATTATCACCTTTCAAACGCATGCGAAGGCTCATTCCACGATATCTGGAACTCTTCATTGTACGGGTGAGCATAGTTTACACTGCACCGAGTTAACAAAGCAGAATTCTTAAAGGAACTGTCATACCTACTAGGATACGCTTGTGGTTGCAACAGAAGAACTCTGTCCGGTGGTAGTTTCTCAGCGATATTCTCGCTTGGTGGGAAATGAATCTGTAGACGAACGAACAACAGAAAAAACACAACGTCAGGGTGAAACTTTCCAAACCATAAAACATCACACAAATAATTCTATGTGAAATAAGTGGAAAACAACTACCTAAATTCAAGAGAATACTTTTAAAAAAAGTAAAATTTAATGATGGTTCTGATTGAGCGACCAGCAACATGGAATTCTTACTTGTGATACTTGATACTTGAATGGCCCGTCCTCACTGGTAGTGCGGGCCCCAGCTTAATCTCCATTTTTCGCAAATTTGCTGGCTAAGTCAATACAGTTCCCTGGAGACTCGATGTCAATCTCGCCAAAGTCTGCCCCAGGTCTTCACCACCACAGGCAGTCGCAGCCATTGTGGATCAGAGGGAGATTTACCACCATGCGACTTTGATAACAGGACGGTGGTGGATCCTGGTATTGATTTACTCTTAGCTAGACTTCCTGATGGAAACGCCGTACTCCTTCTCAGCTTGGGAGACCCTGCTGCAGGGTGGGAGTGAATCTCTCCGCTGTACATCGAACTCCGTCCGACTCCCAGGGCACCTCCTAGCCACGATGAGGCGGTAAACCGTTGGAAGTTCTTACAATATATAAGTCAACAGAACTCTAGATTTCGAAACAGTCTGGCACATTTTCAAGGCAAAGTGTCTTTAAATAAGGAGCTAAACAAGAATCCTACTTGAGTCAATCCATTCGGACCCACTATTGCCACTACATTTCTTCGACAACTGGGCAACGTATGGACGAAAGCACTCACTTGGCTCTAAAACAATGAGAAAATCTCAAGCCAGAAAACATCAAATACCTGAAAATCTAAAACAAAGATTTGATAAAAAAAAGCCTGGCCAAATCCTAAGCGTTTTTGAAACTTCAAGAAATAGTAATACTAATACGAACTATCTCAAATAATAGCGGATTGTAAATTGTTGAGCTTACCTTAATTTACTTAATTTTTATAGGATAGTACGATATTTTACAGGATATCCTTTTTGTAGGATATAGTTATACTTATAAGAAGTTACTCAATTAGTAGCAAATAATTTGAAAGAGGAAGTTCAGGTTTAAGTTCTAGGGTTTTTCAGTAGTCAATGAAGTGGAAAGAAAGAAACTACAAAAAACGAGAATGAACAAATTTGCATGGGACGAGAACAGTTTGTAAAACAACTGACGCATTGCTTAATTCATGTTTTTTTTCCTCTTTAATTAATGGAAGCTTAATTGCTAGCTGGTATAAGTGTACGTTGAAAATAAGTGGAGGAGAAGAAAGCAAACCGAATCCCAAGCTACGGTTTTAAATAGAATCTGTCATAGCAGCATTAGCGAGAAACTTGCGTAGTTAAGCTTTACAATAATTTCGCAATACAAAAGATAAAAAGCATATGAAAACAAAAAAGAAAGAAAACAGTGAGATCGAAAAATTTTGCGCTACGAGCTGAAAGGAAACCAAAAAACCCTCAATCAGTAGATGTGTTGTATGTATAATGCGATAAGTACAGGAAAAGTTTGAGCCTCATACCCGCATTGCGTAATACATAGTAAGATGGCTAATAGAATATAGAAAAAAAAACTGCTCTTTATCAACCACAATGATCCTGAGATGGTTGCCAAACTCCTGACGGCAAATGTCCGCGGTGGGGATCAAAAACGTTATTACCTTTTCCAAGGACTAATACGTTCACCACCACACCATGGGCGTCCTTCGTTTCGCCTTTCTCTAGCAAGTGTTCTTCTACCAGTCCCGTCAGCAATCACCCGTCAACGGGACTCATCTGGGGAGCCCAATTCGGCATTGGACCCAAGAAAGATAACGTTGCAGTTGAAATCACAATGTTAACTTTTTTATTTACTGCTTACTACAATCAGAGTTTTATGATGCTTATGATATGAAAAATGTATAAAACAGCAACTCCGATCAACACACAACTCACGTCCCCAGCACAAACTGGTATCTCGGAAACATCCGCCTTTCTGGACACGTGTTTAGTCAAATTCGTTCGCCTCAAACCGGCCACTTTCTTGGGAGAGATATCACAATCACCTGAAGAAAGTGCGCTATGTACCTCTATAGACATAGTACATGAACTATGGATTACCCGAATTTCCGGCATTGGTGTCCAAAATCTCGTGCGCTTCAGCTCGACAAAAAGTCCTTTTGTGTGAACAGAAGTTCATGAAACTACGAAAAATACTTTTGCAGGCTCTGAAACTACAAAATGTCAAAGAGAGAAAAGCTTCTAACATAACGAAAAGAAAGGTAAATCACCTGCATTCCAGCAGAATCGAGCACTCCCTCTCAAAGAGTTGTCTATCCTCTTCCGTACATGAGCTTAAGTAAGCCACCAATTCAGGAATACCTGTAATAGAGAATCGTGTAGTTCAAAACAAGCACAAAAGCAGCCGATCATATTAAAACTATGGTTTCAAATGTAATCAATAGTTATAAAACAAACTCGGTTGTCGAATTTGCGACATTTCCCATCAAGACACGCGAGACAAGTCGGATCCTAAGCGAATGGATTGCATTTCGTGGATAGAAATGGTGATTGAGACATTCTGTTTAAACATGCAGATGATAAACTGTTAAGGTAATCCGAGAGCTATTGATCACTACTGGAAATGCAGTATTATTCAAAATTAGGCCCAAAATTGCTAGAGGAACAAGCAGAAATACAACCAAGGGATAATTTTAGATGCAAAGTATGAACCAATAAGAGATGATGGAAGGAGTAAGTAAACCACTGAAGCATGGAGAACCCATGGAATGATACGGAGAGTTCCTACTTGACAACAACTATCAAGTAGAACTACATATCAGCCATACGGTAACATCAACTGTGTGCATTTTCAAGGCCATTGCTGATTTTTCAGCGGTCTTTCCCTTGCTGAACGTTTACATTACTCTTTTAGAACTTGTAAAAAGAACAAACAAGTTTAGTTCATCATGATCTACATACGAAGTCCACTTAAATAAATGCCTTTCTACAGCATTCCCAATTACGAGGCAACTATGAATATGGCTATCACTAGACAGGGCTCCCTCGTCGAGCATTCATGATTTCCCAAGGTGGTAAGAGTCTCAACGTACGCTGAAAACAATAACTAACTATGAATTTATGGGTATTTAATAACAGGCAGGTTAAAACGACTAGTATTGAGTGCTAGTGAAATAGAGGATGAAGGTGTCTGAGGTACGCAAATCCGTAAAGAATAGACCGGGTCAAACCTCCGCCACGAGAACAGAGCGGATTCAGACATGGAAAAAACCACTCATTCTCTGTACAATTCCATAACCGGGATAGAGACGATGCCAACGAAAATCTCAACTCTCCGGTAAATTTTCTCTTCATTGGAATAGCCATAGCAACTATTAAGTTACTCGGAAATCAATGTCCCACTCACAGTTTCATTTTTCTTCTGTCTTTGGAAATAGTTTCCTCTCGATCTTGTATTGTTGCATATGAACGGGAAACTCATTGCATGCACTTCCGCTCTGGTTGGTTGAATTGCAATATAACCTGTATTTTCGACACCTGAGATATTAAAACAGCATCTTTGACCAACCTACTTCTACGAATTCAAACGCGGATCTACATACCTGCAAACGGCTTGAAGCATTAACAAGGTATGGAATAAAGGAAGTGCCACCGAACGCACAGAGTAAAGCTGCTATCAAAAATGTCGTCCCATCGAATTCGACCATGAAAATGGTGGAGATCACGGACGTCCTGCTATCCACTACGATGAATTGAAGGTTTTGCTGAAAGCAAATATATGTACACCTGTTCAAACCTTGCAGAAGAACTCGATGAAGCATTTTAATTTTTCCCAAGCATCTAAGAAAGTTAGAATGGCAAAGAAGTTTGATCAATGGATGACATACGAATGTAATGACCTCCATAATAACGCACGGCCGCAGCTCGCACAACCGGCAAAAGTTGAACAAACTGGGCTTCAAAACTCTGCCTCATCTACCATACGGGCCAGACCTTTTGCATACCAACTACCACTTCAAGCATCTCGACAACCTCATCTGCAAGTAGTGCTTCATAAGCCGAACTAAGACCGGAATTTCCTTTCTACGATTTAATCACTACTAGAAGTCTAGAATTTTATGTAACTGGTGCGAATCAACTTGTTCGTCGTTAGAAAAGAAATGAGTAGATTTTAATGAACTTTTTCCGACTAACGAAGTTTGTGCTAAGCTGAGATATTCTACTTTGAAAATACTGGTGACATCGGACGTTAATTTCCGGAGAACCTATTGCATTAAGTTACAGGCGTTTGAGACAGACATGGTTTCCAACTCTAAAGTTCTGCATTTCAAAACTCTTCGGTGACATCGCATTGAGATTTGGCAGGTCACGTTATTGTCGAATCGTCGATCGACTTTTTATCCCTTTTATTCCCATATTTATATTCGACTTATTACAAAGCTCTTTTCGTAAAACATTCCTGTCTCGACGCATAAACCCCCTCAAGAGTAAGAGTCCCAGATTCTTCACCATGAAAGCCATGTTTAGGTTTAAAATATGAGAAGATGCACGGCTCGAGGAGTCCATAACAAACAGCCAACTTCTAGTTGGAACCCATATACTGCATGCACTTTTCATAGTAAATAATAAGAAGCTACTTTCAAAACGAATGAACCCCAGAACAGTCCAGCCAGTGGAGGATCTCGCGTACGGTCATCCAGCTAACGAAAGGTGAAACCTTTCTTTATGTCAATAAAAGTGAAACAGATCGATCTTCCGCAACATTTCAATGAGTCCTACTATCGTGTGAATATGGGCCACCGTACTGAATTTTTTCAGTCCTATTGGCTTGCGTGGCTGTCCTTCGTCTAATGCTCTGTCATTCCTATTGAGGATGAATCGAATGAAGGGTTTATAGATGACTGATAGCAAGCAGATTGAGCGATGGTTGTCGATGTCATGGAGATCTCCCTTTTTGTGCAACAACACTGTTCTTAGTTTTATATCGATTAAGAACCTTGCACTCTGATGAGCAACGTGTGAAGAGCAGAAACAGGATGTAAATGACCATTGGTGAAGAGTTTTGCAAATATCTGAGTCTCATTCAGTCTAGACAGAGAGTCGTGTGGTTCTTTGCCCACGAAGTAGCGCATCAGACTTCCGGAAGTAAAACCAGTGGAACGTCGTATTCAACCTCCTTGATTTCATGCGAAGGAGGACGTGGGTATTGGAGAAATCAGGGTAGTAGTCGCGTACAATTTTCTCTACTGCTTTTCTGGAACTTTTCACAGCTCTTTCTGGGCCTCGGAGTGCGATCATCTTGGTCTTACAACTGGCGAGGTTTCGGTGGGCGTTACGAGTGCTCTTTACAACCTCAAAGGCTGCAGCGTTTATCGCTGCTCTTCTCTCCTTGTGTTCTTTTGTCTCCTTTATACGTAGCTTTGTAAAATTGGACGTGAATTTTTGAGCACCACGCTTGGGCGATCCCACTTTGGCGTATCGCCTCTAGTGTTATTGGAGACAGGTTTTCTCCAGGCTCTTTGTGGCTTTCGAACTCTCAGCTTTCATACCACCAACGTGAAATTCTTCGATAAGCTGGTCACATTATCCATCGATGTTGTTGATAACAGTATCTTCCCAAAAGCTAACTAGGGATTTGAGTGAATCCTAGTTTATTGCGGTTTTTATCATTTTTTTGAGCCTAGCGGCTTTTCCTTCTTTCCGTGGAAAACGAAACCTTGCACGAAGGAGGAAACTGTCTGATCTTGTGTGGAATTTTGGGACAACAGCGATATCTTTTGGACAAAACCTTCGATTTATTACCGTTTGGTCTATTTCCTTTTGGTACTTTCCAATTGTATATTCCCAAGACTTTCGTTGAGGGTGGCGCTTCTGCAACTGCAAGTTACCATTAACGGTCTTGTTCGTCATGAAAAACTCAGGCAGCCGCCTCACTCTGCTGGTTCTACTCTAGTCCGTGGGTCCCAATGTTACTTTCTTCAGACGTTCTTCTGGCCCCAATCTTAGCATTAAAATAAACAGTGATGGTCTCAACGAATGTATGGTCCACTTTGTAGAACTTCTCCAATTATATATGGAATGGTTCTACATCGTCTACTTCACGCCTTAATGTCAGTGCGCAGACGACGAAAATTGTCAAAGCCGATGTTGCTCCACATCACTTCGGCCGTATACGTCGGAACTAGGTTGTTAATTGCTCTAAGAAACTGATTTGCACGGCCAAACTCGTGTTGATGAGGACTCCATCGTTGCCTATTCCTCCAATGCCGCTTATTTCAAGGAACAATTCTTCTCCGATATCATAGACAGCATTAAATTGGAAACTTAGAATGGCACCAAGAGTTCAACAGCTTCTCCACGACCGCCCCAGCCAACGCTGCATTATCGGAGGCTCTTTCGGAATCAGAGAATAAGACCCATTTATTTCACTATGTTAGTTATTACCCACACATGGCTTATATATCTCTCAACATAGGGGTTTATATACTTACGGGTAGCTTTTTAATCTCCCTCAGAGGAGGCAAGGAGCTGATTTGTTAGAAAGCCCTCTGACCATCTCCTATATTCTTCTCATAGGGTTTTACCCGAATCAACTTTAGAATACAATCTATGCAAGCGCTAGAACTACGCACACATCCATGAACATGTCTACCTAGAAACAGAAGTTATGTGCTGAATCAAAGCAGGAAAAACAGGAAGTCCATCCCATGTATCCTCGTTTAGCCCCATTCGCCACTTTCGGATGCGTTAGACAGCTTCATAACTAAACGGCTGGAGAAACTTCAGGAAGAGAGGTCCGTGGACTCCTATTGATATTGCGATAATTACGAGTTGTTTCCAGCAAATACAGCAGATACCTCTACTTCTGATATTTACTACTTGTATTTACCTTGTCCATAACTAATAATGAAACCTATGACATGAAGAGCGGACAAAGGCACGACATTTACAAGAGAGGTTGCCAGCTTGTAGAGTTCCCCGCAAGTGCTAACTCAACTGCTTCTCGAATTTGTCGTTTCTGCATGTTAAATACTTTCATTATCAGCATGTGAGACATTCAGTCTCCCATATGGACGGAGCATCTAAGTCAAATGTGTGGTAACATGTGTAGCTTCATAGAAGAAACTAATATAGAAGACGTGCGAATATGAGATAGTAAATAAAAGATTTAACTTCCATTCTACTGCTGTTTCCCTTAAGAATTGCAAGAGAAGAAATGTTTAAGAAGTTAATAAGCATAACAATTCTATTATACTTCAGTGATCTGATAAGACAAGCTATCTTGTACTTCCACCCACCTGTATTGAACTGTCTCCTTCATGTGTTAAGATATCAACAAGTGCATTGGAAAACTTGTGGAAAGCAACCAAACCACTTGGTTTCAAATGTCAGTGATCTACGACTGACACAACGCAAATGCAACAGTATGAACCTGAAAATCGGAAAATAAATTGATATTTCCTAGCAAATAATATGATTAATATATATCATGCATACCCGGATACTTATTTGGATGCACAATCCTGACTGGTTGTGCGGAGCCCAACATAATTTCCGTTTACTCCGAGTTTTAGTAGTTCAGCAATCGTCGTCCCCTGGAGTACCGAGGTCAACCAAGCCAAAGTCTGCCCCAGTTCGTCATCACCAGAGGCAATAAGCATCCTTGTGGGTCAGAGGGTAATTTGCCATCACGCGACTAGTTTGGTACCAGAACGGTGACGGATCGTGGCATCTGTTTACTGTTAAATGTTTCGTGGTGGAGAAATATATCACACATATAGAAGAGAAGTTTCTATACATCACTAAGAAAACCGCTTCAATAGTATGTTTTAAGTCACGGAATATGGTGCACTAATTCCTTTTAACAACCAAAGAGACATTTCACCAGTTGTGCTGACAACAACAGTTATGATCTCGATCTACAGCTTCCAAAGATTGACCAATGATTAACGGTACTAACTGTATACGTTTCACCTGCTTGATAAACGAAGAATAACAACCGCTCACCGTTAGAATATTTGAGGAAAAACCTTTAGAGTTTAGGTTTTTAGGCCAACCTGTTATGTCCAAAGGCATTATTGTGACAAGTAGACGTGCTTATCACTTAGAGACCCACGTATAACATTTCGCTGCACGCATGCAGAATTGAAATCGAATCATATAGTGGAGTCCACGTTTGAGTCACATGAACCGATCTCCTTGTCAACAGTCTTTCACGTTTCCTCCATACAATAGGCAATCAATTGCCGCAGAGAGCTACCT